GGTTGCGTTCCAATAGTCCGTTTAGCTTAGGAACCTTCCTAACCAAGTGAAATGACCCGGAAGTCCCTCACTGGCAGCCATGATAAGTGCCGTTCCAATTCTCCAAATGAAAGGAAAGGAGGTTTCAAACTTCCTTTATAACCTCCTTTAGCTTAGGAACCACTGGACCTTCCCTAACCGAAAGGAGAGGAGAAAATGCTGCCCCACAATGCCTTGCAGCCGCAGCACTTGCCGTCACTCAACAGTCGGTTACAGTTACAGTGCTTATTAAGCTTTTTAAAACGTATGTGGTAAGTTGCCAAAGTGCTTTGTTCTGAACGTTCATCAGTATTATAATCAAAAAGAGAAATATGAACGTTAGTTTTTACTGAAATGATCAAATAAAGTCAACATTTCACAGTCTTTACTGAGCTGTGTGGAGTTTGTTCAACTTTTAAAAGATGTTTGAATGGTGATATACACAGTGATAGATGGTAAGGACTAACGTTTATAATAAATACATTTGTATTGATTTTAAGATCTTTTCATCAATAACACGTATTGGGATCATTTGTATTAATGTGGACCGGAGGGAGAGGGTGACGAGCATAAGTTTCACTTTCCTTTTTTATTTCAATTCTAACTTTGGTCATGAAGAATATGTTTCTCTGTTGTCCCCGTTCATAAAGCATAAAGCAACAGCATCAGAGCACGGTGCAGAGTCTCTAGATGAGTTTACAGTAGTCCCTCGTTCTTATTAAACATCCATGTTGTAGTCCGCTGTATAGGAAACTGTAGTTTCCATGGTTACCCCACAGCAGCAGACGCACATTCATGACGTCCGCTGGCGCATCATAAACACGTCGGATAGTGAAAGTGCATTCGGATTCTCTTAAGTACCGCAGTCTCTTCTCCTAAATCCTTTTGAATTCTCCTATCCACTATCCCTTAACCCCGTGACGTTTCACTCAGAGGTCAAGGAATAGGAGATAGGGTTAGAATTTAGGAGCTGATTTTTGGATTATCGGAACGCAACCCAGGAGTCTACAAGGAGCCACTGCAGCTATTGTACAGCGCCCGGGGAGCAATGGGAGTGGGGGGGGGGTTGTCCAAGGGCCTTGCTCAAGGGCACCACGGCAGGGTAGGAGGTGAACTGGGACCTCTCCAAGTAGCAGTCCACACTCCACATGTTAGGTCTGGTCGGGGACTTGAACCGGCGACCCTACGGCTCCCAGTCCAAGCCCCTACTGACTGAGCAATGCAATGCTTGTATGTATTACTGTGTTTAGTGTCCTGTCGGTAACTTTGTGTGGTAGTGTTACCACTGACAGGTCTCTCTTGACATTGTGTCTCAATGAGATTTTTACACCTGTATAAATAAAGGCTAAATAAAAAATACTTCATGAATTGTACTTATTCATTCCTTACTGATGGTTTGTCCCTGTTTGTCATGCTTTGCTTTCTGTCATTTTGTTCATGGATGTCTGTAAGACGATGCTTTTGTCAGGACCCCTTGAAAAGGAAATGGTGCATGTCAAGGGGCTTATCCTAATAAATACATTTCTATATATGTACAAATGAAAAAATGGCATTGCATCATGTCTAAAATAATGCAAAGTATGGCTGTTTCTCGAGACATTAATGCATGTTTTACTACCTGGAGATTCATGTGAATAATATCCTGCTTCATATTGTGTCCTTTTCAGAGTTTATAGACTTTCTATCTACTTTATATGTTCAACTTTTTAATCCTGTTTTAATTCAATTTTGAGATTGTTTATTTCTACTCTTTGAATTCTACTTATGCGCAATGCCTTGTTTTGTCTTTTTATGCTGCTGCAACGCAAACATTTCCCAATTTGGGATAAATAAAGTACCTCTTATCTTATGCTCTACTTTCCGATCTCCCTAAAAGAATATACATCCACTACAATTACTGGCACACTCCAAAAGTATTAACGAGGACGAGAAACAAAGCCCCCCATGTTTACCGTCTCTGCTACCTGTGAGCTTGAGATGTCACACTTTAAGATAATAGTTTTTTTAATGCTCTTAATGGTCTTGGTCCTAGTTATTCATCCATGGGCGTCACAGCCATTATATGAGGGTGGGACAAGTCCCCCCCACCTTTTAAAATGATTAGTTTAGACCCCCCCACTTTTACTATGCGGAAAGTCCGTGCATCGGTCTATCCACTCGCCGCCCTTTGTAGAGCGATGTGTCGGGGCTTCATTATCAAATCCATTCCACTTTCTTATTGAGAGAATGCCCAAATCAATGAAACTCCGTCCCATGTTTTCCCTGCTACTTTGTACCAGAGCCGCACACAGGAGCCGTACACATGCTGCGTTCTGTGCGTAGCTGTGTCTTTAGTTGTAAGCCCAGTGGCGATCTGTTCATCTGTCATATCATACAATAAAGCCATTGAAAAGAATAGATACAGCATTAAGTTATTCTGGGTCTTTGTGTGTCATAGCTCGGCTGTGTGTGTGTGGCACGAGGAGCGCATTTTGTGTGAGCGAGCGAGCGAGCGAGAGAGAGAGAGTGAACGAGAGACTTTAGTCTAAGTTATCTCATGTAAACAAGTATTTCCAAGGCACACCTTTTATATGATCATTATACAAAATAAGAGAATAACAGGTATGAAATAATTCCAACTCAGACTATAGGACAGTAAAACTAAAATACAGTTTAAAAGGGGAGTGATTTGTAAAATATGCATAAAGAAAAAGTAAGTCTGTTTTACACAGTTCTGTTTCACATGGGTGTTGAGAGATGTATCCATAGATCTAGTCCCTAACGTTGCTCTCAAAGTGCAGCAGATTGATGCTTTTAACTTCAACATTTAAAAAAACATTACATTACATGTCACTTGTTAGACGCTTTTATCCAAAGTGACTTACATACTCAATACTGTGGGCAATCCCCACAGGAGCAATTTGGGGTGAAGTGTCTCAGGGACACAACGACATGCTGACTGCAGCGGGGTTTGAACCTGTGACCCCCTGATCCGAACACCTACGCACAATCCACTGCACCACATGCCTCCCTCCACCACCTGCCCACACCCGCGTCAAATTGTCCTACCCACATTGAGGATGCTTCCTACGCCCATTAATTCATCAGATGTATTTCTAACTTATAAAGCAGTGCTTCTCAAAGTGTGGTCCGTGAGCGCCCCCTAGTGGTCCGTGAGTATATTGGTAAAAATGTCACATTTTAAATAAATAAATACATTTAAGTTTTCCGCACTCTCACGGGAATATCTCCGCAATGGAGCGAGCTTAAGTTTCACTTTCGATTGCATGATATAGCCCAGCGCAACACCTTCGTCACACATGTTGCCACTTGTTTGTACCATTTTCAGGCGATTTGTAATCTGTTCTAGAAAAACGATGTGATTTTGGATATCTGTGGAGTGAGGTGGTCCGCGAGTGTTTTTTTATTGGTTAAGTGGTCCTTGGTATGAAAGTTTGAGAAACACTGCTCTAAAGCATAGAACCAAGTGCTAAACTTAGAATCATTAAAGTTACGTTTTTTTAAAAGACCCACAGCGAGGCTTCTTTTGTTATCGACCTGAGGACAGCGTTCTTACTTTGAAGAGCCCACCCTTAGACCCACCTTTAAAATGTGACATTTAATAACTCTCTTTTTACCCAGTCTTGTTTTTGTTGACATGTTTTGGTGATTGTATTGATCATAAGGTCATGTGCTGCTTGTGAACTTGGAAGGATGGCATTGTTTGTATTTATTCTTTGGTATTAAGTGTTTTTATTGATCATGTGTTGCTCCGTCCCTGAACTGGGAGGGCGGTTCGTCGTGCTTTTATTTGTATTTGGGGATTTTTTTGGAGTTGTTTTGTTTTTTTATATATTTTTCTTTGCCCTTTTTTTGGAATTAAGTGTTTGGCTAAGTGTGTTGCTCTGTCCATGAACTGGGAGGGATGGTCCCTTTCGTTTTGATGTATTATTATTTTAATTGTTTTGTTTTGAGAAGCACATCATTGGGTCCTTCTCACTTCGGTTAAATGGATTCCTTGCTTCCCTCACTTGCGTCGTTTCCCTGCGTCTAGTCCCTCCCACCAGGGAAGCACGGAGAGATGCAAGGAAACCACGAGAAGCAGGGAAATGAGTTTTAAGAGCAATGGGACGTCCTTTCCTCCGGAGCGTCACGTGAAGCGATGTCCGTTTGTGATGACGCTGCACAGCTGATCGTCTGACAGCAGCCAGCTCTGTCCCCGTTATTTCACAAACACCCCCGCCTCTGTTAGTACACATTTACTGACACAAACATTTGTATCATCTGTTGTAGACCCCAATAAATAAAATAAGAGAAGAACTCATTCTCAAAAAAGATAAACGCCATTCTTAAAATGTATAAACGAACAATAGTTTGATTAATATTGATTAGAGTGCACAATAGAAATAAAATAATTGAGAGAAGAAAAAGAGATATGTTATCTATCAAAACCCAGTTAGATTAACATTCATTGGATTGCACACTTTGTGTGGATATGTAGCACATTAACATTTTAATAGCACTTAATGACTGACTGAATGGAAATGACAATAAATGAAAATGTAAAACGAAAAAAGCGATCATGAATAAAATGATTTTTGACCACTTTGTTGTTCAGATATATCACATATTTGTCACTAAATGATACATTAATTGAAACAAAACACAGTATAAACTGAGGAGTGAGTCCCGTGAGGTTCATGTGTTTTCTTCACTCCGCTGGGAAACTGCTCTCATGTCAAGAAGCATCAGATCAGTGCATGCACTGCCTCGTCCAATCAGTGAGCGATACACAGTAAGGGGGCGGGGCGAGTGTCTGAGGATTTCATCGAAGGATGGTCTGGTGGTTCCTCGGTTATAGCTCCTCCATTATCGCTCCTCGATCCTCCGGCAGAAATAAGGCCATTGGGACGCTACTCAAGATGGCGCAGACAAATCAACTTCCGGTGAGACCGAGACCGAGGAGCGAGGAAATGAAAAATAAGAGAAGTGAGAAGGGCCCAATAGACTCCTGTAATGATGTTTTTATATATTCTTTGTCCATATGTTGGTATTAAATGTTTGTATTGATCATGGGATGATGTGCTGCTCTGCTTATGAACTGGGAGGGGGCTTTTATACTATTTTAATTTGTATTCATCGTTATTGTTTTTGATAATAATTGGTTTGTGAAGCACTTCGTCTTACCTCTGTTACGAACTGGGGGGTGGTATTGTTTTTATTAAAATGTTATATGTATTTCATTTTGCTGTCCTTTGTTGGTATTAAGAGTTTTAATTGATTATGGGAGTTTATCTTTGGTTAATGAGGCACTTTTGTACCTCATATTTAAGAACTGGGGTGTAGTTATGTTTTCATTTAAAATCTGTAATAATTTGTTTGCCCTCATGTTTTGGTTGTGATTCACTTTGCCTTCTGTGTCTTAAAAAGCTCTTCATAAATAAAGATTGATTGATTGACTCCTCGTACCTGAAAGAGCCTCCTCCGGGGTCGTTGAGCTTGTTTTTCTGATTTCCACACATCTGAGCCGCCATGGGACTTCTGCCTTGGATGAATCCTGCCTTGCACATTGTGCCTGTTCAGAAAGAGGGGAAGCAAAGACGAGTTATGAACACAGGAGAGGAGTTATCATTGAAACGTCGCCTCCTATCTGCATCAAACATCCTCCTGTCTTACGACTACCTTCAACTGTCATCCTCGCAGGGCTGAGTAAGAAAGTGGGGGGGGGGGGTTTGTACTGTCGCTCTCCTCAGGTTGGTGCGTACAGCGTCGCTCTGTCAATATCACTGCGCTTCACCGGCTCTCCTTACACTCCTAAACCGCATCCTGCTCCGAGACACGTTTTCCAGAGAGGCACGAGGACTGCCAGAGTGAATTCAAACTTGATTTTAACAGGCATGTTCCTCGCCAAGAGGCACAGAAAAGTATTTTTAGAACTATCCCCGCATTCCAATTTATGGGCATAAAACAACCTACAGATCTTTCACTGCAGGCGATCTAGGAGAAGGGGGCAGATCAAATTTGTATGCACCTCCGATAGCACACACACACACAGGTAGAAACACGCACACACATTACACACTTTACACACAGCACCTGAGAGCACAGCGCTCTCTTAGGGGAGCGTTACGCCCGGTTGCTGTCGGGGCGATATTTGTGGGCTTCAGTGGGAAGAGTGTTTGTGAATCAGTGTGAGTAAGCAGCAGCGCAAATGTTTGAGGAGGCTTTCTAACCAGACAGGGGAGGAAGAAAAAACACCTGTTCTCTGTGAGCCTGTTTACACATCTTAAGGCCAACGGAGGGAACGATCAGGCTTCCACTAATGGCTATCTTCTGTTGAACAGGTTTTCATTTGTTTAACCACAAGGTCTGGATGAGTTTGAGAATCTTGAACATATCTTGCATGCGGAGACATTGAAACTGCAGGCCGGAAACAGAAGAAAAACTGGTGTCAAAGGGTGTCTTTTTTTTAATATTAAGCCATTCCTTTTTTACCTCGTATGCCACTTTGGCTCCAACACAGTTCATTTCCCCGCTGTGGCACTAATAAGGGGATTCTGATTCTTCAGAAAAAAGGGAAAACTGAAATTCAAAGCTCCCAGAATTTAAAGAAATCTGTACATTTAATTTTATACTCAATTTAAGTCCTGCACAATTTTACAATATATTTTTCTCTATCTGCTTCTGTACTGTCTATTTCTGTATGTTGCTATTTCCCCCTAGGTCAATACATTTTAATCCTATTGACATTAAAGGTCCCCTATTATAATGTTTTTCATCAATATATCACAGGTCTCAGATATATACAGAACCTGTCTCTGATTGGCTGAAACATCAAACAGATCATTGCAGCATTACCCATAATCCCCTCTGTTTCAGCCCTGTTTCCAAAGTGCTGATTCTCTGTCTGTTACTTTAGATGAAAATAAGGAGCCCCTCCCCACGCCCCTCTGAGAGACATTTGGTTACAAAGAACTCAATGGTGCTCTAGGAGGAGATTCAGGTGATAAGGGGGGGGGGGGGGTTACCTTGGTTGCTGATTGGCTAATGGTTACACAAGCATCGTTATGACATCATAAAGTGGCCAAAATCTGATCAGCTCATTTTCAGACAGGTTTTTATAGAAATGGATCAAAAAGAGAGAGAATCTTTGTTCCTGAAACTTTCAGAATCTCTTTCCACAGAGGGGACACATGTTGATGTAGAAGAGACATGAAGAAGAGGGGACACATGTTGATGTAGAAGAGACATGAAGAAGAGGGGACACATGTTGATGTAGAAGAGACATGAAGAAGAGGGGTCACATGTTGATGTAGAAGAGACATGAAGAAGAGGGGACACATGTTGATGTAGAAGAGACATGAAGAAGAGGGGACACATGTTGATGTAGAAGAGACATGAAGAAGAGGGGACACATGTTGATGTAGAAGAGACATGAAGAAGAGGGGACACATGTTGATGTAGAAGAGACATGAAGAAGCGGGGACACATGTTGATGTAGAAGAGACATGAAGAAGAGGATTTTGCACAATAGGTGACCTTAAATATAAATTGTAAATTGGTAAAGATGTCATTGAATTCAAATAAAGAAGTGGCTGCAGAAGTCCTTCATACCTTGCGCTCTGACAGGATGTGTGATCCCCATGGGCATCCGGACCTGGCCACTCATAGCGCCTGCTCTCATTCCCTGAGGAGCAAACACAAACACAGATTACACACATCATTACTTCAATATTTCAAAGAATGACACAATTTGTAAATGAGGCGAGATTATAAACCTGGCATGTCTGCTGAACTGCTTCTGCTCAAGATTACTCTCTTGGAACAAGACTTAGTCAGTAGCACAACATTTTCAACAAGATTCAAGGCTTTATTGTCACAGTAGCTACAGTGTAGACACGGCAATGACGAACTGAAGTCCCAGGCTCCTCCAACAGCAACATGAATATATATAGGACATAAAACAAGTCATTTTTGTACTGATTTTGAATCTACTGTCAGGTATTAAAGTATTGCTTGCTGAAGTCCTGCCTGCACTCATGTGATGTCGACAATCACATGGAAGATTGTTGACGTCCACCTGGATCCATCTTTTTTATATACATGTTCTTTATCTTTTGTGTCATTCTACTGTATGTAGCCATTTTATCATCTTTTTCAGGGTTCATACACTTTTTCACCAATGATTTTCCAGGACTTCTCCATGACCTTTACCTAATTTTCCAGGACTTCTCCAGGACCATTACCTAATTTTCGAGGACTTCTCCAGGACCGTTACCTAATTTTCCAGGACTTCTCCAGGACCTTTACCAAATTTCCGAGGACTTCTCCAGGACCATTACCTAATTTCCAAGACTTCTCCAGGACCGTTACCTAATTTCCGAGGACTTCACCTAATTTTCCAAGACTTCTCCAGGACCATTACCTAATTTTCCAAGACTTCTCCAGGACCATTACCTAATTTTCCAAGACTTCTCCAGGACCTTTACCAAATTTCCGAGGACTTCTCCAGGACCGTTACCTAATTTTCCAAGACTTCTCCAGGACCTTTACCAAATGTCCAGGACTTCTCCAGGACCGTTACCTAATTTCCGAGGACTTCTCCAGGACCATTACCTAATTTCCGAGGACTTCTCCAGGACCATTACCTAATTTCCGAGGACTTCTCCAGGACCATTACCTAATTTCCGAGGACTTCTCCAGGACCGTTACCTAATTTCCGAGGACTTCTCCAGGACCGTTACCTAATTTTCCAAGACTTCTCCAGGACCTTTACGTAATTTCCGAGGACTTCTCCAGGACCGTTACCTAATTTCCGAGGACTTCTCCAGGACCGTTACCTAATTTCCGAGGACTTCTCCAGGACCGTTACCTAATTTTCCAAGACTTCTCCAGGACCTTTACCTAATTTCCGAGGACTTCTCCAGGACCGTTACCTAATTTTCCAAGACTTCTCCAGGACCATTACCTAATTTCCGAGGACTTCTCCAGGACCCTTACCTAATTTCCGAGGACTTCTCCAGGACCATTACCTAATTTCCGAGGACTTCTCCAGGACCATTACCTAATTTTCCAAGACTTCTCCAGGACCGTTACCTAATTTTCCAAGACTTCTCCAGGACCTTTACCTAATTTCCGAGGACTTCTCCAGGACCGTTACCTAATTTTCCAAGACTTCTCCAGGACCATTACCTAATTTCCGAGGACTTCTCCAGGACCCTTACCTAATTTCCGAGGACTTCTCCAGGACCATTACCTAATTTCCGAGGACTTCTCCAGGACCGTTACCTAATTTCCGAGGACTTCTCCAGGACCGTTACCTAATTTTCCAAGACTTCTCCAGGACCTTTACCTAATTTCCGAGGACTTCTCCAGGACCTTTACCAAATTTCCGAGGACTTCTCCAGGACCGTTACCTAATTTCCGAGGACTTCTCCAGGACCTTTACCAAATTTCCGAGGACTTCTCCAGGACCTTTACCTAATTTTCCAAGACTTCTCCAGGACCATTACCTAATTTCCGAGGACTTCTCCAGGACCTTTACCTAATTTTCCAAGACTTCTCCAGGACCTTTACCAAATTTCCGAGGACTTCTCCAGGACCGTTACCTAATTTTCCAAGACTTCTCCATGACCTTTACCTAATTTCCGAGGACTTCTCCAGGACCGTTACCTAATTTTCCAAGACTTCTCCAGGACCTTTACCAAATTTCCGAGGACTTCTCCAGGACCATTACCTAATTTTCCAGGACTTCTCCAGGACCATTACCTAATTTTCCAGGACCATTACCTAATTTTCCAGGACCTGTACCTAATTTTCCAAGACTTCTCCAGGACCTTTACCTAATTTCCGAGGACTTCTCCAGGACCGTTACCTAATTTTCCAAGACTTCTCCAGGACCTTTACCAAATTTCCGAGGACTTCTCCAGGACCATTACCTAATTTTCCAAGACTTCTCCAGGACCTTTACCTAATTTCCGAGGACTTCTCCAGGACCATTACCTAATTTTCCAAGACTTCTCCAGGACCTTTACCTAATTTCCGAGGACTTCTCCAGGACCATTACCTAATTTTCCAGGACCTGTACCTAATTTTCCAGGACCAAAAACATGACTCTTTCTCGGCGTTCCACTGAAAATGGTTTATTTTAACATGGAACAGGAAAATAAGGTCTGCATCTGAAACATGTCGTGCCTCTCTAAAACAAATCAAATAGTAGCTTACTAGCTTCACGCTAAAGCAACTCAAATCTCTCACCAGCAAAACACCTCGTCAGTTAAATGCCATTTTACGTTTCATTACGATACGATACAGTATTTATTATCATTATCGTATTACTATTTCAGCGATTAGATAAAATATAAATTATATTTGATGCAACTTTAGTTACATTTCCATGACTTTTCCAAAACTTTGGGAAACATATTGTTTTCCATAACTTTTCCAGGGCCTGGAATTAGCCTTTTGAATTTCCATGACTTTTCCAGGTTTTTAATGACCCTGTTTTTTAAGGTCTGCACACGACATCTACTGCACGTCTGTCTGTCCTGGGAGAGGGATAGATAAGATAGACTTGTATTAATCCCTCGTGGGGAAATAGTTTCTCTGCATTTGACCCATCCTAGTGTTAGGAGCAGTGGGCTGCCATTTTGAACGGCGCCCGGGGAGCAGTGTGGGGAACACCTCGGTAGTGCTCAGGGACACCTCGGTAGCACTTGGTCTTGCCGGGACTTGAACTGGTGACCTTCCAGTTGCCAAGCCAAGTCCCTATCGACTTTGCCACCACCGCCCCTTCCTCTGTTGCTCTCCTGGAGGTTTACAACATTTGTCCCCGTTAATCGTGGGATTTCTTGGGAGTCTTTCCTTGTTACAGCAAGGGACTAAGGGTAGGGGGTGTCGAATGCTGTACACACTGTAAAGCCCCCGAGACAAATGTGTAATTTCTAATATGTGTCTATATATATTCATTTAAGAGTAGCGGACAGATGCAAGAAAGATTTTAAAGATGGCTATTCCTGCACATTCCTCCACGCCACTCCTTTGTGCATCAGTCGATCCTCACAGCTGAAGGCTCTCAGTCTTCTCTCAGTGATCGTGCCGTTATGTTCAATGTTTGTTGTTCGTGTCTTGATATGTGTCTGTGTTGATGTTACACATGGAGCTGCTGTGAAGCAAGTCACATTTCAGACTTGATCTGACCATTAAAGTGTTATCGTATTATTAGACAGAATGTGAGACAAATGTGTGATTTCTGATATTTGGCTATATATATGAATTTAAGGGTAGAAGATGTTACGATGGTTATTCCTGCACGTTATCAGACAGAATGTGATGCAAAGGCTAAAGCAGGATGGATTCTGTCACTGACCTACATTTGCCTGCTTTTCCAGATAAGACAAAGGCAAAAGAAGTCAAGACGGCAGTGAAAAAGTAGAAGAAGAAGTAGTAGAAGAAGGAGCATGGGGATGAGGAAGGGGGGGTTTTGCTGGGCTATTAGAGTCACTTCCTTCCTTGGTAGCAGCCACAGGCCCCCCCTCAGGCTCAGCCATCCATTCCTACCAGTTTGCTTCTTGCTGCATATTTGTTAGCCTTGTTTTCCATTCCCTGACACATGCTATATTACTGTTCAAGCTACGGAGAAAAAGACAGAGGCCATTTTCCCAGAGAGCCACTGCAGGGGCTTGTGAGAGTGGGAGGAAAAGGAGACAAATAGAATTCAGCACAGGCGGAGATAGCTGCACCTCTGGCCACCCGCGACACAGTTAGGAGAAGTCAGGTAGAAAGTTTGGGAAACAGACGGTAAAAGGCTTGTGTTTAACCAAGTCCATATATATATACTTTAATTTATTCATATATCATAACAGAATACAGGAACGTACATTCTGTTCAATCTCATAAATCTTATTTCTGCGTTTTGCTTGCACCACGGTATCATTATTTGACTTCCTTATTTACGATAATGTATTTATTTGTTAAGTATGTTACACTATTCGCAGGGTCTGGGACTAAATATTTCCATTGCCAACAACCACCCTATTTTGCATCTGACAAATAAAACCATTGAATGTTTGGTATAAATAAATGATATACAGTTATATTTCCATTTGACTGCTTTTTAAAACACATAATTGCAACATTTTTCACATGCTAGTTATTTCAGTGCTAGTTCTCTTTATTTTAAGACCCCCACTTCCTTAATGAAGCTCACACACACACACACACACACACACACACACACACACACACACACACACACACACACACACACACACACACACACACACACACACACACACACACACACACACACACACACACACACACACACACACACACACACACACACACACACACACACACACACACACACACACACACACACACACACACACACACACACGTTACGTCGTGGTAAAGTAAAAAAGTGTATTCAGATGTTCTACTTTATAACAGGAATTAAATACTGACGGTGTCTGCCGATCTTCTCAGCAACGACCTTGTAATCATACGAATGTTTTGAAATGCATCATAAGTACACATGTTAGTTATGCAACTGGTAGCACAGCTTCTTTATGACTTTCAATCAATGGTTGCACACATGTTTTTATTGCAGCCTCTGAGGTAGAGGTTTATATATTTGACCACATTAGTTTGAGAGTTAGAGCATACACAATGTTACAGTGCTCTGTGGTGATGTGGCCTAGTTACTCCATTCATGCACTGCCTTTCAATAGATATATCATATTGCCCCGAGGTCATTTAAGGTCCAGCAAGTTTCGTTAAAACTAGTGGTGGAATTTTTTCGAAAATATTACAAAATGTTGGCCATTTAAATAACATTTTAACCCTAAATGCATCAAAGAATTACATTTTCTGGCTGTAAAACAAGCCGTAAACACATACATCATGTCATGCTATCTGCTGCTACAGCATGTACCTTTATCTTACCTCTATTCTAACCTTTATTTAAGTGTACATTCCTTGTGGGGTTAATCATAAAATAAACCTTAAATAAATGACTCCACATGTATACACTTTAAGTTACAATTGCTAAACTTTACAAAACATTTATTAAATTCAAACATTTCCCAGCCTACTGTAAGAAATATTACCCGTACTACTTTGGGAGCAGAGGACTTTTAGCGCTGTTGGGCCCGGGGCGATCATTCACTAATGTTATGTGTGATAGCTTATGTTGGTGTGTGTGTGTGTGTGTGTGTGTGTGTGTGTGTGTGTGTGTGTGTGTGTGTGTGTGTGTGTGTGTGTGTGTGTGTGTGTGTGTGTGTGTGTGTGTGTGTGTGTGTGTGTGTGTGTGTGTGTGTGTGTGAGAGACATAGAGATGGCGAGAGACCGGAGGCTTGTTCTGGACATAGACTGTGGCCGCCACATTGCTTTAAAATTGACCCGGGGCTGGCCTAGTTCCCTCGTCTCACCCTTTAACGGTTAACGGGTGGAGGGAGGGAGATACAGTGAGAGGAGAGAGATGGACAGAGAAAAGAGTGAGAGCAAGAGAGTGAGAGAGAGAGAAACAAGTGAGGAAAAGGGTGAGAGGAGGAAGATGAGGGGAGTGAGAGGAAGAGTGAGAAAGGAAAATATGAAAAAGAGAGACAGAAGCACACACACACACACACACACACACACACACACACAGTGCTGCTGTGTGTCCAGTGGAGGTTACATTGCCTTAGGGTTGCAACATTTTAAAAATATAACACTTAATATTCATCTCCAAGGTGTACTGTAATGTTTACTTCTCATAAATTGTAAAATTCACAAATTTTAACTTCTTATGTTTATACAAATATTTCGATTATATTGCCTTTTCATTTGATTGCACACTGTATCTGCCACCTAGACTGACCCTTTTATGAATGTGTAATGTTCGTAAGACTTGAAAACTTCAATACAAATATTGTTTAAAAAAACAACAACCTGTAAATCACCTTTAAAGACAAACAGTGAACGTAAACACTGATAACTGAGTGTCCTCCATACACACCATGCCAGCTGCATGTCCCATCCCGGCTCCTGCGGTGACGCTGACGCTGTGGGGGGGGCGGATGCGGACAGCTGGCCCAGCCGCGAAGGCAGGGGGGGGGCCGCCGGGTGCTGGTTTGAGTCCCTGATGCGGGGGATAGGTCACGGTGTGCTGACTGCTCAACAGAGAGAGCCGGAGGGCCGGGAGACTCTTCTGTTGACGGGCAGAGAGAGACAAGGGTTACAGGCAAACATGAGGATACAGCAGGAAGAGGGACACACACACACACTGTGCTGTGCTGTGGTCACTGTCTGATGTTATCAACACATGAGGATACAGCAGGAAGAGGGACACACACACTGTGCTGTGGTCACTGTGTAATGTTATCAACACATGAGGATACAGCAGGAAGAGGGACACACACTGTGCTGTGGTCACTGTGTAATGTTATCAACACATGAGGATACAGCAGGAAGAGGGACACACACACACTGCGCTGTGGTCACTGTGTGATGTTATCAACACATGAGGATACAGCAGGAAGAGGGACACACACACACTGCGCTGTGGTCACTGTGTAATGTTATCAACACATGAGGATACAGCAGGAAGAGGGACACACACACACTGCGCTGTGGTCACTGTGTGATGTTATCAACACATGAGGATACAGCAGGAAGAGGGACACACACACACTGTGCTGTGGTCACTGTGGAATGTTATCAACACATGAGGATACAGCAGGAAGAGGGACACACACACTGTGCTGTGGTCACTGTGTGATGTTATCAACACATGAGGATACAGCAGGAAGAGGGACACACACACTGTGCTGTGGTCACTGTGTAATGTTATCAACACATGAGGATACAGCAGGAAGAGGGACACACACACACTGTGCTGTGGTCACTGTGTAATGTTATCAACACATGAGGATACAGCAGGAAGAGGGACACACACACACTGTGGTCACTGTGTAATGTTATCAACACATGAGGATACAGCAGGAAGAGGGACACACACACACTGCGCTGTGGTCACTGTGTAATCAAAACATGGTTATGGGCTAAAGAAAAAACGATGGCGACATGACAAGGGCTGTTGTGTTCTACCTGCATTGACAATAATCGTGCTATTTAAAAAATGAAATACTGACATCATGCTGATAATGCACATATGATTATATCATTTTGCCAGGTGTTAGAAATTGTGGATTTGTTGTTCATCAGGTCATGTGGTTGCCCTCTCAAGCTTATACAGTGTAATGGTTATAGACTTGTCTCTTTTGTAAGTGTAATTAATTTGCCAAAAAGAGAGACAGAATAAACAAAAATAACTATTGATTAGACTGATGGCATTATTTATTGATTTACTTTTCTAGATAATATCATTCCATCCATCCATCCATCTTCTCCCGCTTATCCGTGGTCGGGTCGCGGGGGTAGCAGTTCCAGCAGAGAGCCCCAAACTTTCTTTTCCCTGGCGACATCAACCAGCTCTGACTGGGGGATCCCAAGGCGCTCCCAGGCCAGTGAAGAGATATAATCCCTCCACCTGGTCCTAGGTCTACCCCTTGGTCTCTTCCCAGCTGGACGTGCCTGGAACACCTTCCTAGGGAGGCGCCCAGGTGGCATCCTAACTAGGTGCCCGAACCACCTCAACTGGCTCCTTTCGACGCGAAGGAGGAGCGGCTCAACTCCGAGTCCCTCCCTGATGACCGAACTTCTCACCTTATCCCTAAGGGAGACACCAGCCACCCTGCGGAGAAAACCCATCTCGGCCGCTTGTATCCGCGATCTCGTTCTTTCGGTCATGACCCATCCTTCATGACCATAGGTGAGGGTAGGAACCAAAATGGCCCGGTAGACAGAGAGCTTTGCCTTCTGGCTCAGCTCCCTTTTGTCACCAATCCTGTTTGTAATATACATGGATCGGATTTCGAGGCGTAGTCGTGGGGGAGGGGGTCTGCAGTTCGGTGGACTAAGGATTGCACCACTGCTTTTTGCAGATGATGTGGTTCTAATGGCTTCATCGGTCTGCGACCTTCAGCACTCACTGGATCGGTTCGCAACCGAGTGTGAAGCGGCTGGGATGAGGATCAGCACCTCCAAATCTGAGGCCATGGTTCTCAGCAGGAAACCGATGGACTGTCCACTTCAAGTAGGGAATGAGTCCTTACCCCAAGTGAAGGAGTTCAAGTATCTCGGGGTCTTGTTCTCGAGTGAGGGAACAATGGAGCGTGAGATGGGCCGGAGAATCGGAGCAGCGGGAGCGGTACTGCAGTCGCTTTACCGCACCGTTGTGACGAAAAGGGAGCTGAGCCAGAAGGCAAAGCTCTCTGTCTACCGGGCCATTTTCGTTCCTACCCTCACCTATGGATAATATCATTATCATGAAATATTTTGGACACAATAATTGTATAGTAAAAATGATCCTGAAAGCCATAGACCTCAAAATGTGTTTTGTATACACGCAGTTAAAGTGTTTGACTTGATTTCGTGATGATAAACCCACAGTATGTTTATTATCCACCACACATGGAACATGGCCATCAGCCAGTTGTGATAAGCCTCTGTCACAGTGGAGCTGCTGCTGCTGCTGCTGCTGCTCCATAAAGACTATTTCAGGCAGATTTTTGACGTAAGAGACCTAACGTTGCATGACAACATGTGTTTGTGGCCGGGTCGTGACGCTCATCACGGCTGGCTGCAGGAAGCTGAAGGCTACACGCTGCAGGACACACTGTCACACACAGTCAGAAGTCAGGCCACAGGGGAGTGGGCGGATGTGTGTGTGAGAGTGTGTGTGTATCATTCTACTGTCAGGCCTGTTCATTACTGCCCTTGGTGCCATGCAAAGGACTATTTTAGGGGTCAGTTTGGGTAAATAACATGAGAGCAGCAGCTTAAGGAGCCGTGTTAAGGGGGGATTTAAGGGGCAAGTGATTTTTTGGGGGGTCAATTTAATGCTCAAGGGCTTTCGGGCTGCACACCTTGAAAAAATAACTCATTGCGTTTATTTTGACTTACATTGCGATATGATTTGCAATATTTGAGGAATTCACAATTTGTTGTTGAATATGTTCACGTAATTATTAAAGAAATGTAATAAAATAAGCATTTTTTGAAGAGGATCTGTTCCAAACACACTTGTTGTTGGCTTGCTACAAATAAACTGTATTAATATCACCTGCTTAAATTGAATGCTCCTGCTCCTTCATCACATACGTCTCATCAGATTTAGCAAAACAATAACAAACTATAATCATTGAGACAATAAGTGTTGACCACCATCCGCTCTGATAAGCTGTCAGTATGGGTGGATGTGTGTGTATGCGTGTGCGTGTGCGTGTGTGTGTGTGTGTGTGTGTGTGTGTGTGTGTGTCATTCTACTGTCAGGCCTGAAAAGGGGTGAACATATTCCCACCAACCTTTCCCTCTGACCCCTAAAGCCAGATGTTAGAGTATGGTCGTGGCTTTTTTGGTCCAGAGGGAAAGGGACCTTACAAAGAAGTTAAAAAAGACACTTTATAAGCGAGCGCCCCACCTTGAGGAAGGGCACCAGGTAGGGCTGCGGAGAGGACTTGAGCTCCGTCTGCAGCCGGCTGGTGAACTCCTCCGGTTCTATCTTTGCATCCTGTTGGTGGAGAGGAAAGTAAAACAACACTTTAGGAGAGGCAACAAGATGACACATCCCATCACCGGCTGATCATCGGCTCTCATCCTGCGTCCTCGGGCTGAAGCTCATGAACGTCTAACTGGGTTTCAAAATGCATGAAGGAGAGAGGAGGGTTTAGAGTTTCTTGCTGCCATCTACAGGTTTGAAACAGGCAACACAACAATATGTGAAAGATGCAAGGTTGACAAACTAAGATATATATATATATGTTAGTAATTTCGTTTTTGGGAGAAGGGGTGGGATTAAATAAGTGTAAACGTCTTCCCACGCCTTTTCAGATGTGTAATTAAGTAGAGTATTTATTTATACATATTTAGAATCAGTAATATTTGTGTATATCAATTTTGTATTGTATAATAATTATCATGTTACATTTTTGTATTATTGTTTTACACATCAGAAATAAATCAAATCTAATAAATCTGAACTCCTAAGTGTATTTTAAAATGCAAACAATTAAGTTACATAAGAAAAAATGATTGAAGAAAGACTGTGGGTGTTTTCCAATGTCGAGGAAGGCTGCTCCAGAGCCACTATTTCAAGCATACTACGTCATCGAGTCCCGCCGAAGGACTGTTCTAATGTCCAGGATCCTTGGAATTCTACCGAGCCGGGCGTACTTCGTTGCGGGACATTTCGAGGCTGCTGATGTGTAGACTCCGCGGTCTTAAAATCCCCACAATGCTTTGCGCACGGACCAATTTCCAAATCTGTGGAGGAAAATGTAAGGCGGGGCCTCTCATATGACGCACACTTGCACACTTGCTAGCCTGTTCCACTCTTCGTTTTCCGAGGCTAGGAGGTATTCTTGCCTCGCTTCTTAAGGACTCACTCGGAGGTACATGTGCTACCAAGCAAGCCTCCTCGACATTGAGAAACACTGTGACTCCAACAAAATGTGAAGGATGCAAGTTTTAAGATGAGATGAGATGAGAAGGACCTTTATTAATCCCCTTGGTTAAATGCAGTAGTTTAACAGCAACAGGGTAAGATTGAAAAATTGGAAAACACAGATTAATAAAATCAAAGATACAGATTTAAAATGATAAAATAACAATAAAATAAGAAAATAATTCAAATGACCATATATACATATTGGGTCATATATACATATTTGATATATTTACATGTGTGTGAAAACAGTGTGTATTTTATGTCCAGTAATTGTGTCACATTGCACAATACTTACTTACTCCTAAGTGTATTTTAAAGTGCAAATGAAGTTACTTAAGAAAAAATCATTGAAGAAACACTGACTCCAGTAGAGCTGTGTTGTTTTTCATGTTAAAATTAATCTGTAGATTACTGTCCATGTCGGGATCAATAAAGTGTCTGTCTGTCTGTCTGTCTATCTATCTGTCTGTCTGTCTGTCTGTCTGTCTATCTATCTATCCATCTATCTATCTATCTATCTGTCTCTCTGTCTGTCTGTCTGTCTGTCTATCTATCCATCTATCCATCTCTCTATCTGTCTCTCTGTCTGTCTGTCTGTCTGTCTGTCTGTCTGTCTGTCTGTCTGTCTATCCATCTATCTATCTCTCTATCTGTCTCTCTGTCTGTCTGTCTGTCTATCTATCCATCTATCTATCTCTCTATCTGTCTCTCTGTCTGTCTGTCTATCTATCTATCCATCTATCTATCTCTCTATCTGTCTCTCTGTCTGTCTGTCTGTCTGTCTGTCTGTCTGTCTGTCTGTCTGTCTGTCTATCTATCCATCTATCTATCTATCCATCTATCCATCTATCTATCTCTCTATCTGTCTCTCTGTCTGTCTGTCTATCTATCCATCCATCTATCTATCTATCTCTCTCTCTATCTGTCTGTCTGTCTGTTTGTCCATCTATCTATCCATCTATCTGTCTCTCTATCTGTCTGTCTGTCTGTCTATCTATCCATCCATCTATCTATCCATCTATCTATCTGTCTGTCTGTCCATCTATCTATCCATCTATCTGTCTCTCTATCTGTCTGTCTGTCTGTCTGTCTGTCTATCTATCTATCCATCTATCTATCTCTCTCTCTCTCTATCTGTCTGTCTGTCTGTCTGTCTGTCTATCTATCTATCCATCTATCTATCTATCCATCTATCCATCTATCTATCTCTCTATCTGTCTCTCTGTCTGTCTGTCTATCTATCTATCCATCTATCTGTCTCTCTATCTGTCTGTCTGTCTGTCTATCTATCCATCCATCTATCTATCCATCTATCTATCTGTCTGTCTGTCCATCTATCCATCCATCTATCTATCCATCCATCTGTCTGTCTGTCTGTCTGTCTGTCTGTCTGTCTGTCTGTCTGTCCATCTATCTATCTCTCTATCTGTCTCTCTCTCTATAACATAAGTGTTGTTTATTGTTGTGAGTCTCACCAGCAGGTCCTGGACCAGAGACTTGACGTTCTTCGAGGTCTCTGGGGACGGAGAGTTGTGAGACGCCAGCTTGATGAGTGTGGCCAGGAAATTCTTACACTTCTTCACATTCTCCTGCATTTCCTGTAGGAAACAAAAAGAAAATAAGTATTCATCTTCTGTACAAAGAAACAAAAACATCAGATATCAAAGGCTACAAAATGCTGAATGTCTTAGATATTTCAGGACGCCTTTTTTTATTAATTTGGCATAGGATTTGTATCAGAATTTCATGTTAAAATAGAGGTGTTGAATCAAATCCGGAGCAGAAAGTATTGTATTTGACCTGCAATCATTTCCTTAATACTCCACAGATATATTACAGAATGATATAACTTAAAGGTCCCCTATTATTCTGTTTTCCATCAATATATTACAGGTCTCAGATATATACAGAACATGTCTCTGAAGTGTTTGGCTCCAAACACCAAACAGATCATTGCAGCATTACCCATAATCCCCTCTGTTTCAGCCCTGTTTCCAAAGTGCTGATTCTCTGTCTGTTACTTTAGATGAAAATAAGGAGCCCCTCCCCACGCCCCTCTGAGAGACATTTGGTTACAAAGAACTCAATGGTGCTCTAGGAGGAGATTCAGGTGATAAGGGGGGGGGGGGGGGGGGTTACCTTGGTTGCTAATTGGCTAATGGGTACACAAGACACAACATCGTTATGACATCATAAAGTGGCCAAAATCTGATCAGCTCATTTTCAGACAGGTTTTTATAGAAATGGATCAAAAAGAGAGAGAATCTTTGTTCCTGAAACTTTCAGAGTCTCTTTCCACAGAGGGGACACATGTTGATGTAGAAGAGACATGAAGAAGAGGGGACACATGTCGATGTAGAAGATACATGAAGAAGAGGGGACACATGTTGATGTAGAAGAGACATGAAGAAGAGGGGACACATGTTGATGTAGAAGAGACATGAAGAAGAGGGGACACATGTTGATGTAGAAGAGACATGGAGAAGAGGGGACACATGTTGATGTAGAAGAGACATGAAGAATGAGGGGACACATGTTGATGTAGAAGAGACATGAAGAAGAGGGGACACATGTTGATGTAGAAGAGACATGAAGAAGAGGGGACACATGTTGATGTAGAAGAGACATGAAGAAGAGGGGACACATGTTGATGTAGAAGAGACATGAAGAAGAGGGGACACATGTTGATGTAGAAGAGACATGAAGAAGAGGGGACACATGTTGATGTAGAAGAGACATGAAGAAGAGGGGACACATGTTGATGTAGAAGAGACAATGAGAAGAGGGGACACATGTTGATGTAGAAGAGACATGAAGAAGAGGGGACACATGTTGATGTAGAAGAGACATGAAGAAGAGGGGACACATGTTGATGTAGAAGAGACATGGAGAAGAGGGGACACATGTTGATGTAGAAGAGACATGAAGAAGAGGGGACACATGTTGATGTAGAAGAGACATGAAGAAGAGGGGACACATGTTGATGTAGAATGAGACATGAAGAAAGGAAGAAGGGGGACACATGTTGATGTAGAAGAGACATGAAGAAGAGGGGGAGGAGGGACACATGTTGATGTAGAAGAGACATGAGAAGAGGGGACACATGTTGATGTAGAAGAGACATGGAAGAAGAGGGGACACATGTTGATGTAGAAGAGACATGAAGAAGAGGGGACACATGTTGATGTAGAAGAGACATGAAGAAGAGGGGACACATGTTGATGTAGAAGAGACATGAAGAAGAGGGGACACATGTGATGTAGAAGAGACATGAAGAAGAGGGGACACATGTTGATGTAGAAGAGACATGAAGAAGAGGGGACACATGTTGATGTAGAAGAGACATGAAGAAGAGGGGACACATGTTGATGTAGAAGAGACATGAAGAAGAGGGGACACATGCTGATGTAGAAGAGACATGAAGAAGAGGGGACACATGTTGATGTAGAAGAGACATGAAGAAGAGGGGACACATGTTGATGTAGAAGAGACATGAAGAAGAGGGGACACATGCTGATGTAGAAGAGACATGAAGAAGTGGAGTTTGCATAATAGGTGACCTTTAAGCTAATGTAAGAAGTTGACAAGCCTCAGTCTGAAACCAGAGCAGCCGAATGAGAGCTGGCACCTCTCACAGAGCCGGAGGAAACAAAGTGAAGCCCTGAGAGAATCTGTGGCCTCGATACATGGAGACGTGTGGCTCGGTTTCTCTGAGGGGTGTGAGCATCTACAGCAGGGGCGTCCAAACTACGGCCCGGGGGCCAAATGCGGCCTGCGGGCCATTTTGAATCGGCCCTCAGCAAATAAAAAAAGTATAATGGAATACGGCCCACAAATGCAACTTGTGCTTTTCTTATATTGTACTTCTTAAATATATATGTAGAAAAATATTACACATTAGTATTCATGTGTTAATAAGACCACTTTTCAAATAAATCCAGTCAATTCCTGTTGAAAACATGTTCTAACATATCTTAGTTGATAAAAGAAAAGCCCAATGACTTATTTACATAACAAGCTTGAAACACACCGTTCCTATTTAATCGTATTATATTTGAAGCTTCTGTTTTAAGGCATGAGCTGCTAACAAGATAAATGAAACCCTATAGAGAGCTGTGATGTAGGCTGTTTTGTTCTTAAAGCTTATTCATGTATCAAGCCTAATTTACCTACATTTTGCTAACTTATAACTTAACTTATGAGCCAACATAGGAGAGGAGATTCAGGTGATAAGGTTGGGGGGGGGTTACCTTGGTTGGTGATTGGCTAATGGTTACACAAGCCAAAACATCGTTATGACATCATAAAGTGGCCAAAATCTGATCAGCTCTTTTTCAGACAGGTTTTTATAGAAATGGATCAAAAAGAGAGAGAATCTTTGTTCCTGAAACTTTCAGAGTCTCTTTCCACAGAGGGGACACATGTTGATGTAGAAGAGACATGAAGAAGAGGGGACACATGTTGATGTGGAAGAGACATGAAGAAGAGGGGACACATGTTGATGTAGAAGAGACATGAAGAAGAGGGGACACATGTTGATGTTGAAGAGACGTGAAGAAGAGGGGACACATGTTGATATAGAAGAGACATGAAGAAGAGGGGACACATGTTGATGTAGAAGAGACATGAAAAAGAGGGGACACATGTTGATGTAGAAGAGACATGAAAAAGAGGGGACACATGTTGATGTAGAAGAGACATGAAGAAGAGGGGACACATGTTGATGTGGAAGAGACATGAAGAAGAGGGGACACATGTTGATGTAGAAGAGACATGAAGAAGAGGGGACACATGTTGATGTTGAAGAGACGTGAAGAAGAGGGGACACATGTTGATGTAGAAGAGACATGAAAAAGAGGGGACACATGTTGATGTAGAAGAGACCTGAAGAAGAGGGGACACATGTTGATGTGGAAGAGACATGAAGAAGAGGGGACACATGTTGATGTAGAAGAGACATGAAGAAGAGGGGACACATGTTGATGAAGAAGAGACATGAAGAAGAGGGGACACATGTTGATGTAGAAGAGACATGAAGAAGAGGGGACACATGTTGATGTAGAAGAGACATGAAGAAGAGGGGACACATGTTGATGTAGAAGAGACATGAAGAAGAGGGGACACGTGTTGATGTGGAAGAGACATGAAAAAGAGGGGACACATGTTGATGTAGAAGAGACATGAAGAAGAGGGGACACATGTTGATGTGGAAGAGACATGAAGAAGAGGGGACACATGTTGATGTAGAAGAGACATGAAGAAGAGGGGACACATGTTGATGTAGAAGAGACATGAAGAAGAGGGGACACATGTTGATGTAGAAGAGACATGGAGAAGAGGGGACACATGTTGATGTTGAAGAGACATGAAGAAGAGGGGACACATGTTGATGTAGAAGAGACATGAAGAAGAGGGGACACATGTTGATGTAGAAGAGACATGAAGAAGAGGGGACACATGTTGATGTGGAAGAGACATGAAGAAGAGGGGGACACATGTTGATGTAGAAGAGACATGAAGAAGAGGGGACACATGTTGATGTTGAAGAGACGTGAAGAAGAGGGGACACATGTTGATGTAGAAGAGACATGAAAAAGAGGGGACACATGTTGATGTAGAAGAGACCTGAAGAAGAGGGGACACATGTTGATGTGGAAGAGACATGAAGAAGAGGGGACACATGTTGATGTAGAAGAGACATGAAGAAGAGGGGACACATGTTGATGAAGAAGAGACATGAAGAAGAGGGGGACACATGTTGATGTAGAAGAGACGTGAAGAAGAGGGGGACACATGTTGATGTAGAAGAGACATGAAGAAGAGGGGACACATGTTGATGTAGAAGAGACATGAAGAAGAGGGGACACATGTTGATGTGGAAGAGACATGAAGAAGAGGGGACACATGTTGATGTGGAAGAGACATGAAGAAGAGGGGACACATGTTGATGTAGAAGAGACATGAAGAAGAGGGGACACATGTTGATGTAGAAGAGACATGAAGAAGAGGGGACACATGTTGATGTAGAAGAGACATGGAGAAGAGGGGACACATGTTGATGTTGAAGAGACATGAAGAAGAGGGGACACATGTTGATGTAGAAGAGACATGAAGAAGAGGGGACACATGTTGATGTTGAAGAGACATGAAGAAGAGGGGACACATGTTGATGTAGAAGAGACATGAAGAAGAGGGGACACATGTTGATGTTGAAGAGACATGAAGAAGTGCATTTTGCATAATAGATGACCTTTAATGTCTACGTCTATATGTCCTTCGGTTGGCCTGAACTTGTGTGAATGTATGAGTGTGAATGTGTGTGTGGGCATGTGTGAGACTGTGGCCAGCTGTGTGAGGAGGGGGGAGGGCCGGGGGTCCGAGTCCTGACACAGGCAGCCTGCTGGCAGCTGTGACAGGACCTGGAGGGTGGAGAGCGGGCGGAGAGAGAGAGAGAGAAACGGACCCCGGACACGATGGGTCCCCCGGTGTTCGCGGTGACGCCCGTCTGCTGGGGGGGCTGGGGGGGGGCCGGGGGGGCCACGGCCACGGGGGTCTGCTGCGGAGCCGTCACAGCTGGAGCCACGGGGCCCTTCTGAAGAGGAAGAGACAGGGAGGTAAACAGGGAGATAAACAGGAAGTGACGCCTCGCTCGCAGCAAGGCCACAGAGAACAGGAGGCAGAGACACACTTCTGTCACTTCTGCTGCCCGACATCACTTAACAGACAAGGAAGAGTGGGGGGGGGCTTCAGGCTGAGAAAGATGGGAGGCCTTCAACAGATTTGACTTAAGAGTCACCTACCTGAAAAGGGAAGCCACACATACTAGACATGGCCCTGATGTTATCCACATCATTTTCATACCAGTTTATTTTTAAAGTGTTCACTAAACTCAGACGTCATTGCGTGGTTTAAGCGTACACATAACTTTACAAATTAATAAACCACACAGCATCACATGACTATAAGTCAGTGGTTCTCAAACTTTTTCTGTCAGGCCCCCCCTTTGGAGAAAAAAAAAAGTCGGGCCCCCCCCAACACAAATAGTCAGGCTCAGTGGCGGCGCCAGAGATTTGTTTTGGGGGTGCTGTGGGGTAGCTTGACGTTTCATAGAGGGTGCTCAAACATTTAGGGTTTCCCATTAATGTACTGGGCGCTACAGAGGAATGTTCTACTGCAACACTCCCCACGCATATACACAGTGTACCCGCGACTGTTACAATGAAGGCTCGATAATCAGCTCACGGCATATAGGTGTAAGCAGGGGTAACGTGCTATTTTTATAGGTGGTGTGTGGACCTCACATAGGGGGGTCCGGGGGCATGCTCCCCCGGGAAGATTTCTAAATATTGAAGTTAAATGCATCAATCTGGTGCACTTTGAGAGCAACATAAAGAGATCTATGGATACATCTCTCAACACCATTTGAAACAGAACTGTAAACAGATTTACTTTTTCTTTATGGCTATTTTGCAAATCACTCCCCTTTTAAACTTTATTCATTTTTTAATGTCATATAGTATTTCATACTTATTTTTAATTGATTCTCTTATTTTTTTATAACTATAATGATCATATAAACGTGTGCCTCGGAAATAATGGTTTACATTAATGGTGACCAAAACGTTTGAGACCCACTGAGATAACACTGAGAGAGTCCTTTAGCTCACTGAGACTCTCAGTCTGACAGGAGAGGACTCTCCTCCACTTTGTTGTTGAAAAAACTCCTTATATCCGTTAGCGTAGCTCGCTAGCACCAGAAGCTAACATCAACGATCTCCGGTACCGGTGCTCTCTCTCTCGCGCGCACGCACACAAAATGGCTCGTTCCACACACACAGAGCTGAGCTTTAATGAAACACAGAGACCCAGACGTAATAGTACTGCATCATATTATTTTCGAATCAATAATTTACATTTTTTTTTTTTCTCCTGGTCTCTCGCGCCCCCCCCTGTCATGCCTCTGCGCCCCCCACTTTGAGAACCACTGCTATAAGTCAACATGAAGTATGTTAAGATAAGGAGGATCAACCATATGAAGATGTGTCTACTTTCTTACAGTAGGATCAGAATTGAATACAAAATGCTGCAGACACACGCTTTACAACATCAGGAAGATACGTCCCCAGCTGACTCAGAGAGCGACGCAGGTTCTGGTCCAGGCTCTCATCATCTCACGCCTAGACTACTGCAACTCGCTCCTGGCTGGTCTACCTGCATGTGCCATCCGACCTCTGCAGCTCACCCAGAATGCAGCGGCTCGCCTGGTCTTCAACCTTCCTAAATTTTCCCACACCACTCCGCTCCTCCGCTCCCTTCACTGGCTTCCGGTAACTGCTAGAATCCACTTCAAGACACTGGTACTTGCTTACCATGCTGCGAATGGATCTGGCCCTTCCTACATCCAGGACATGGTTAAACCGTACACCCCAGCACGTGCACTCCGCTCTGCATCAGCCAAACAGCTCGCTGCACCCTCGCTGCGAGGGGGACCCAAGTTCCCATCAGCAAAAACACATGGGTTTGCTATCCTGGCTCCAAAATGGTGGAATGAGCTCCCCATTGACATCAGGACAGCAGATAGCTTACACACCTTCCGGCGCAGACTGAAAACTCATCTCTTTCGACTCCACTTCGAGCGATAGAACTATTAACAAAGCACTTATATACTAATAAAGGACTGGCTTATCTAAAGCCAGTTGAGTAGCACTTGAAATGTTTGGCTCTATGAAACCTGATGTACTTATATGATTCTGTTTTCTTCAAGTTTGTATCTTCCTGGTCGAATGCACTTACTGTAAGTCGCTTTGGATAAAAGCGTCAGCTAGATGCGATGTAATAAAAGGAAAGTGAAATCCCGAGAAGAGAGCATTGTTTTGTGCTGCAGTTTCCTTACTAAGATGTTCTTAAGAGTCACCTACCTGATAAGGGACACCACATATGAAGATGTGTCTACTTTCTTACAGTATGTAGGATCAGAATTTGATATAAAAGAAAAGAGTTGGGCCAAATCCCGAGCAGAAAGCATTGTTTTTGTGCTGCAGTTTCCTTATTAATATTTAACAGAGATACTACAGAATGGAATAACTTAGACGGATGAAGCTTCAGTCACAATCAAGGGGGAGATGAGCTTCAGGCTAGGAATGACAGGTGGCATCAAAAGCTTCTTTATCAGTCACCTACTTTTTAAGGGAAGCCTCCTTGTAAAGATGAATTACTCCAAACATTAGCTTCCTAATGTCTACTCCCTCGCAGTGATGAACAGGATCAGAAATTGATGTTAAAAGTAAAGTGTTGGGTCAAATCCTGAGCAGAGAGCATTGTATTTGTGCTGCATTTGCCATATTAATACTTAGAAACACTACAGACTAAAGAAGCTTAGAGGACATAGTAGATGAAGGGGAGGTGGGGGCTAGCTAAGAAGGCCTTAAAAAGCTTAGAGGACATAGTAGAGGAAGGGGAGGTGGGGGCTAGCTAAGAAGGCCTTACAAAGCTTAGAGGACATAGTAGAGGAAGGGGAGGTGGGGGCTAGCTAAGAAGGCCTTAAAAAGCTTAGAGGACATAGTAGAGGAAGGGGAGGTGGGGGCCAGCTAAGAAGGCCTTAAAAAGCTTAGAGGACATAGTAGAGGAAGGGGAGGTGGGGGCCAGCTAAGAAGGCCTTAATAAGCTTAGAGGACATAGTAGAGGAAGGGGAGGTGGGGGCTAGCTAAGAAGGCCTTACAAAGCTTAGAGGACATAGTAGAGGAAGGGGAGGTGGGGGCTAGCTAAGAAGGCCTTACAAAGCTTAGAGGACATAGTAGAGGAAGGGGAGGTGGGGGCTAGCTAAGAAGGCCTTACAAAGCTTAGAGGACATAGTAGAGGAAGGGGAGGTGGGGGCTAGCTAAGAAGGCCTTACAAAGCTTAGAGGACATAGTAGAGGAAGGGGAGGTGGGGGCTAGCTAAGAAGGCCTTACAAAGCTTAGAGGACATAGTAGAGGAAGGGGAGGTGGGGGCTAGCTAAGAAGGCCTTAAAAAGCTTAGAGGACATAGTAGAGGAAGGGGAGGTGGGGGCTAGCTAAGAAGGCCTTACAAAGCTTCTCTTAAGAGTCATCTACCTGAAAATGAAGATATGTTACTCCCAACATTAGCAATCTAATATGTACTTTATCATCATGATACGTGAGATCAGAGTTTGATATAAAAAGGAAAGTGTTTGGTAAATTCTTAGGAAATGGCATTGTGTTTGTGCTGCATGTAGGATCAGAGTTGGATATACAAAGAGAGTGAAATCCTGAGCAGAAAGCATTGTTTTTGTGCAGCATTTTCCATATGAATATTTAACAGAGATA